GTTCTTCCTCAAGTCATGCATGAACTCGGACTTCCTCTCATCATGTTTACATCCAAATCTAATTGTATTAACAACCATGATTAATGTAAGAATATACATTATTTAAAAATATAGTGAAAATATTTTAAAAGTATTAAAATGACCTATATGATAGTACAATCAGACATCTTTATAATAATCATCCTTTATAATCTTATTTTATTATAACATGTGAGTTTATGTGAAGAAACTAATTTTTCATGTTATATTATACTCCATTATATATTCTTTATTACATCGTTTCACTATAGTAACCAAAAAATATTGAAATAAATATAACTATTATAAAGAGATTTGATTTTATTGGAATTAGGATGGACGTCAACAGGTGATTGAATGGGTTATTGTTGAGAACAAATTGAAGTACTTCCATTATTTTGATCCAATGAAAAAATCTAGGGAGCACAATTATTGTAGGAAGAGGAAGTAAATTCTAATTTGATGGAATACTCGTACCTGAAAATACACTTGAATGGTTCATAATAATGAAAGGGATCCTTAACTGTGAAAAATGACATTGCACGGAGCTAGGGACCAAAAGCTTTTATTTTGGTTTGGATGAACCCTTATCTATTACTCCATGTTGTACTATTATTACACTACATTTGTCCGGGGCGGATGCAACATAGAGTTACTGATTTTAACTGAATTTAATACTTTCGATATGGAGTATAAATTTATGTGTAAAAATTACTAAAATTGTACTCCTTCAGATCCACTTTAATTGACTTTTTGGCCCTCTTTTGTTGTGGTCCATAATATTTGATTTTTTCACATATCAAGGAGAAATTGTCTTCTTTTTTCCAAAGTTGCCCTCGGAATAAAGAGCCTAAGAGTATTTATTATATTTCTAATGAACAAATGAAGGATAATATGGTTAATTTTATTGTTAATTAATGATAAAAGATGGATTCCTTAATATGTGTAAAAACAACCAAAAAATCAATTAAAATGGACCGGAGGGAGTAATAAATAGTAGATATGAACACATATCTTTAAAAATATAATATGGTCAATGGTAAAAACTTTAATTATTGAACTCACATAATTAAAATCCTAGATCCGTCTCTGCATTTGCCTATCGGTCTCGAATAAATTGGAATATGGCTTGTATTATAAAAAATAATCATGAATTGATAAGTTTTACGTGGATGTACTATCAATTTACCGTATTAAACCATTTCCTAAATTTAGTGGGCATTTGGACATAAGAATTGTAAAATTTCAAAATAGGGGGAAAGATTTTTCAAGTGAAAATGGTATTTGAAATTTAGAGTTGTGTTTGGACATAAATATAATTTTGGTTTGTTTTTGAAGTTTTGTGAGTGATTTGAGCGAAAATTTTGAAAAACAGTTTTTTGGAGTTTTTCAAATTTTCGAAAATTTCCAAAATTTATCTTTAAAATTAAAAATTTTATGAACAAACGCTGATTTCGAAATAAAGTAATTTTTTTTTAGAAAAAAAAGAAATTTTTTTTATGTCCAAACGGGCTCTTAAAATCAGTAATGTGAGTAAGCTATAGTTACTTTAGATTCCTTACTGAACAAGTAAAATATATATCTTTCAAACTTTTGCTTTCATCCTCTTCTCACCTAAAACAAACATAGCACAATTAGGTGTTCGGTTGCCTAATTCTGTCTTTTGTTCTTCTTTCACCAACATAACTGAGGGCCTGTCACAGCCAATAAGGGGTGGTTCAGTCGGAAAGAAGTTATCTCAGGACTAATTATTTCGGGATTAGTTATCTTGATAATTAATTATTTTACCTTTCTATGAGAATAAAAAAATACTACAATTTCGGAATAATTAATTTCGGGATTAATTATACCATATTTTTTACCAACTAAACATAAGATAAATTCTTTTTAAATTTAATCTTGAGATTAATTATTACTTATCCCTCCTAACAAACGAGCCCCGAGTATTCAGAATTCCAGCAATCATTACAACTATAATACAATGTAGGAATCCAAAGCTGCCAGATAGGACCCCAATTTTTTTCCTTTCACTAGATATTGCTTGCAAATTTTTCTGTCCTGCTGTAACTATATCATTCTTTTTTGGAAAACAGCCATTTTGACCCTTTTCTGGGTAACAGAAGTGGGGGTACATAATTGCCAAGATCTAAGAAGCTTTTTCTTATAAAACATTACACGGATTTAGATAACTGAAGGGTAGAAAGTTAGCAGGTACCGTATCTGTCCCGAAGGTTAGTAGGTACAGTATCTGTCCCGTATTTCATATATTAATATTATTATTAGAGTAAAAGTCTAAATTTATCTTTGTACTTTGCGAAAAATATCTAGATTTGCCCTCATGTTTGGATATGTTGTTGTTATTAGGACTATGAGGAGGAAGTTGCACAAACATTATATTAGGTCATTTTTTTTTTAATAAAAGTGTGCTAACGTTTTAACTCAAAATGCCCCAATATGAACAAACATGACTTATTATTATAATAATGTCGTGTGCCGGTGAGGATGAAATCAGAAACAGTATATCTGAAATTCCAGGGATAGGAGTAAGGCTGCGTACATCTTATCCTCTCATACTACATTTGTGGAAAACTACTGAATTTGTTATTGTTGTTGTTGTTGTGTTGAAGATGAAGTTAAAAGATTAAGAAAATAGATAATAATGTAAAAATAATTTCGAGTGATTGATTAAATCAATGTAAAGGATTCTTTCAAAGGGGACCACTAATTGAATTATGAATAGGAAATTTGAAAATAAAATTCATATGATTAGTTGTACTTCTCATATATTTTTATAATAAGTAACACCCCACTCTCACCTCCCCTACGTATATTCATATTCCTAGGTGAAGTAGTAGTATGGACATGCACATATTTTATGGAAATATTAGTTACAATAAGTTTATTCAGTCATCTGTTTATTTAATTTTCAACTATATGAAAGCATTTAGAATGTTCAAAATCATTTCCAAATGCTCATATTAGTTTCCAAAATCAAATTCAAAAACCAGTTTCTCCCAAAACCAAACCAAAAATCAAATTCAAATGCCACCAATTAATTAAAGAGTAGCTAGTACTTTTTGTAATTAAGGGGAATTTATTAGTTTATTTACCTGAATATTCCAGGGCTGATACTGTCTTCCCAATGGATTAATATACGATCTGCCAAGGCAAGTGGATTTTAAAGACATTCTCATGAAAAGAATTAAACAAAAGAAAAAATAGAAGAATAAGGAGTAGCTACCAGTAATTAAAATACAATTTCATGTAATATTAGATTCCTTTTAAACAGCTAGTCAATTTTGGCTTTTATGCACGTTAGAAATTCAACAAACAGTTTTAGTTAATCATTGTGATTTCGTGCTAAGATCAACGCCTACTTTTCCTTTTTCATTTACTAATTCTAAAGGTTGTTTATATTAATCTTGACCTTTTGCCTTTCTAAGTGGACTTTCTCCACCTATTTTTCAACATCTTATTTGTCCATTATAATTTAGACGGAGACGTTCACGGAGTTCTATTTAGCAATTGGTTTAACTTCGACCTGATAATGTAAAATAACCCGATAAATTTCACAACAATCGGAGTTTAATATTCTATGCCTTCCTGTGAATTAAAGAAAATAGGAGGTAGAAATTAAAATCGCAGGCAATTAATTATAAAAATATGTTTTTTTCATTACACTTTCGTTATGGTATATCAATACTTTGTATGTAATATTTTATGTGATATTTCTTTAGTTTTAGTTCATTCCAAAAAGATATTACGTTTTATATTTTCAAACATTTTATTTTAGCTTTAACACATGTTTTTGTCACATGTTATAGACCAAAAGGTCTAATGATTCTTTGCCTTTAAAAATTTCTCATCTAATCAAATAATGCCACATAAAATATGACGGAAAAGTATGACTTATCACCAATACAAAGTATGGAATTATTGGTTGTTGAGATTAGAAAATCAATTCCTGAATAATTCAAGATTATCTTATCTCGTATTTAAATTGATTTTTGTTTCTATATAAGTAATAAAGTACTAGAGCTATTTTACACCACAATTTTGCTATTTTATATTGGATTAAACATGAAATTCTAATACTTAGACTAAAAATTGCTAAATTAAATGACCTAAGACCAAAATCCTTGATTATTACTTTGTTTAGCTCGATAGATAAAGCATCACGCATTTAAACAGGGCATGAGAAAGAACCGCACACCAGAAGTCTAATATACACAGCATACTATCCTTAACCTCTAAAGTTATACAAATATAACTTTACCATTGCTCCAATAGGATAGCACCCCTATGGGTATTATGTAGATATACTACCTTAATAAAGTACTAGGGTTACTTTACACCTCAATTTTGCTATTTTATATTGGATTCAACATGAAATTCTATTACTTAGATTAAAAGTTGCTAAATTAAATGACTAGAAGACCAAAATATCCTTGATTATTGCTTTGTTTAGTCCAATAGATAAAGTATTCCGCATTCACGCAGGGTATGAGGAAGAGCCGCACCCCAATGAGTGTGATATAAAAAACATACCCTAATGCATGTATTAATAACTGCTTCCATTACTCGAATCCTTAACCTCTAAAGTTACAGAAAGATAACTTTATCATTGCTCCAATAAGGCCGTACCCCTAGGGGTATTATATAAACATACTACCTTAATATTCGTTCTTATTTATTTTTAAATATAAGAGTGGAATCGAAAAATAAAATTTTATTTAACTTTAAATCAAACCCATATTTTATACACTGCATATCCTACTTTAATGCATAAATAATCGTGAAATAAGCGTATGAACTTCTTAATCCCTATATCAACATTAAAATTCCTAATTTCCTAGTAATTCTTACTTATAATTTTATTGACTAACCAAACGACCCCTAAGTCATTCCCAAACGCACTCCTCAACAACTCATAAAAAAATCATCTAACTTCCCGATATCGTTACTCTGTAATTGCCGTCCACTTTACACAGCTCACACTTCTAAAACTTCCAAACAAATCTCACTCCCCCTTTAAACCCCACCACCGGCATTTCTTCCTTTTCAATTTCAGCTACTGACGCCGCCTATGTAAAATTGTAAATCGCCGAAGCCAATAAAATAACATAGCAAAAAAAAAGCCAAAGAAAAAACAAAATTATATTACAAAGAAAAACAAAATAACAGAATATTTTGATCATCACAGTTCACAAAATTCCCTCAATTTCACCAGCTTCTCTTACCTGTCCCCCCACCCCCCCATAAAAAGTCCAACCTTACCCCTTACCCCTACCTAGCCATTATATATGTATCTATAGGTCCGTTTATACAAATTTTCCGGCGAGTAATGCTTCTTCTTCTTCTTAGCTGAGGTACAAATTTTCCGCCGAGTAATTTTCCGGTGATGGCAGACGACGTAGTTCCGAAGACATTTAGAGCGTTAGTAGAAAGTGCTGAGAAGAAGTACGCCAGAGTACGGGATTTGCCGGCGTACGGACGGTGGGGAACGAGCAACCATTACTTTCACAAGGTGTTTAAAGCGTACATGAGGTTATGGAAGTACCAGCAGGAGAATCGAGCGAAGCTAACGGACTGCGGGTTACAACGATGGGAGATCGGCGAGATCGCTTCGAGAATCGGTCAGCTTTATTTCAGTCAGTACATGAGGACTAGCGAAGTTAGGTTTTTACTCGAATCATATATTTTTTACGAAGCGATTTTGCACAGGAAGTATTTCGAAGGTTCTGGAAAAGAACGAATGGTGAGGTTTAAAGAGCTGAGGTTCTATGCTAGGTTTTTAATGGTTTCGTTGATTTTAAATCGATCGGAAATGGTGAAACTGCTTGTGGAACAATTTAAAGCTATTGTTGATGACAGTAGAGCTGCTTTTCCGGTACTAGTTCATTACTTCATTATCCTTGTTAATTTTGCTTCCATTTTCTGCTTTTAAGCTCATTTTTAACAATTTAAGTTGTCTTTTGGTAAAATGAAAGCAACTTGAGTAAATATTTTAATTCTTAGGTTTCGCTCATTGCTATTTCTGAATTTTGTTTCTTACTGTTTGCAACCGAAGCTTAAATTAAGAAGAATTTATCTTCTGAATTTTGTTGATGATAGTAAAGCTGCTTTTCCGGTACTAGTTCCTTTTATTAGTTAATTTTGCTTCCATTTCTGTGGCTCTGAAGCTCATTTGACAATAATTTGGCAGTTTTTTGTTCTAGTGAATGCATAGTTAGAAGAATTTGTCTGTGTGATAAAAATCCAGTAATTTAGCTGTCAAATTGAGGAATTAACACAAAATTTTAAGATATTCCAATAGATTTATATCTGAATTGTTAGGTTCACTCATTGCTATTTCTTAAGTTTGTTTCTAATTTAGTGGAACTGAAGCTTAATCTAAGAAGAATTTATCATTTGTATGATAAAAATCCTGTAGTTTAGCTACTAGATTGAGGAATTATCAAGAATTTCAAACATATTTCAATAGATTTATTAAGTCAGCTTTGGTCAGACTGTTGGCGAGAAGTCCAGAAAAGGAATTTATCAGATGTATGGTGAAATCCACAAATTTACCCGTCAGATTGAAGAATTAACATAAATTTTTAAACTTTTTTCAGTAGATCACTTGAGCTTGCTTCGTTCCTTCTATTTGGAAAGCGAGAGTCTATCTTTNGGGGAGACGATAAGGCACGTATTATCAACTTAAGCGTACAGATAGTTTAAGCAAGTTTAATACACACCAAAATTCTGGAATTTGTAACCTGAGCTATTGCGACATGTAATATAGCTTCTCTAGACTAAGCTCTGCCGTGTATTGTGTTTTTGGTTGCAGTGATTGAGAACATGTAACAATTGATACATGTAGTATGGCTTCTCTGGACCATTTTTTTTTTTTTTGGGTAATGGAGAACTTATCGTTATTGGTCATGGTAAAGAATGGTCAATCCATGAAAAAACTGAGATAAGTTTCAGGTGGAATGACCTTTTTATTACTGATTAATATACCATGACTTCTTCTAGAGCTTAGCTGGGATAAGACTTTCTTAGTGTTCAGACCTAAATCATTGACAATTCTACGCTATTTACCTTGATGTCTTCTAAAAAAGTGGTTTTATTTTAGCTTAATTGCCAAAAGTGCTAATTGCCCCTGTACCTTCTACTTTAGAAGGAACACATAAGGGTGTATAACAAAATGCATACACTCTTCAATCTTTCTTTAATATTTAACTTACATGTTCCTGCACCAATGTATGGCGGATAATGTTGGTATTTATGAATTTTGGGGGGAGGTGCACTAGGGATGGCGAACTCTGCGCAAGCAGTCGGTGACTTGTTTTGTTGCATTCTTTTGCTTTTTCTTTGGTGGCAGGGTATATTCTCTTTGTTTGCTTACATGTTATACAGTGTGAAGTGTGAACAAATATAGAGATTAAGGACCCGTTTGGACATAGATTCCCAAATACTTTTTGAAAAAGCTGATTTGGGTGAAGTTTGATTTGAAACTGAAAATGTGTTTGGACATGAATTTTGGGGCAAGTTTTGACATGTTAAAAAGTCCTTTTTTCGTCTTTTTTTTTCAACTCAAAAGTCCCAAATTGTCATGATTTGGCCCAAAAAGAGGTCTTAAGCTATATTTGGGATTTGAAGTTTTGGTTTTCAAAATCTCCCAAAAACTAGATTAATTCTATAAACAAACACATATTTGATATTTTTTTTGAAAACAAACTTCCAAAACTTATGGCCAAACGCCTACTAAGTCCCAAAGGCTTTAGTCTAGTAAGAGTGCAATGCGTGATGCGCGCCCAAGCTGGCCTATATACCACCGTCATTAAGAAAATATACATATAAAAGAGAGAGAGAGAGAGACATTAAGAATTTTGGTTGAGTTGTATTCTACTTTATTGATGGTAGTGCTCGTTACTTCAAATCAAAATGGAAGTGTGTCTAGGGAAATGCTTTACATGCTCCTAAAGAAACAAGGGTCATATGTTAAGCAAGATTTTCTGCATATTATCTTCAAAAGCTCTGAGTGTGAACGCAAAATTTGTTATGCCCGTCTACTTTATGAACATTTGAGCAATCAGATGATTTGCACTTCGAGAATACAGAGGAGATAGGTTCTGGAACTATCTGCGGAAGTATAGAGTTGAGCACTGAACTAACTACCCATTGATTTCCTTTTCTTTTCATATATCCAATGCATCTCGGGTAGAGAAGTTGCTTGTAGTTGAAGTTACTTGATTGTGCTTGGAGCACCCTTGCATCTTCCAATTGCATTAAACAATAAACTGATGCTTTGGCTACTTTGGCCCTGTACTTACTAGCTATATTTGAACGGCAATTCTGTATCTCTTTCCATAAGATGAAGTAATGATTTCACCACAGGGTACTAACTTCAAAGAGTGGAGACTGGTGGTGCAAGAAATTGTTAGGTTTACAAGAGTTGATTCTCCATCTCCAGATGCCAGGCCTCTTAGATATTGTGCTCTCTTTGATTCACATCCGTCATCTCGTCCATATGTAGCTCGCTTCCATGCTAAGAAGGTGCTAAAGTTTCGAGATGCACTTCTGACAAGTTATCACAAAAGTGAGGTATCGACGACATCCTCATACTTCAGTGTTCAGTTGTGCTCAGTTATAATGCACAATTAACCTTTCCTCACTTTTATTTCAGGTCAAATTTGCAGAATTAACACTGGACACTTACAGAATGCTGCAATGTTTGGAATGGGAACCCAGTGGATCTTTCTATCAAAGAAGTCCAGTTGAACCACGAGAGAATGGTGCTGTTACCGACCAATCTGTAACTTCTGGACTTATAGACATAAACTTGGCTGCTGAGATGATGGATCCAGCTTTGCCTCCAAATCCCAAGAAGGCTGTTCTTTACCGTCCTTCTGTTCCGCTATTGATATCTGTGAGCTCTGTTATGTTTACTCTGTGTTGCTGTTCTGATTAATTTATATCTAAGGAGTCATATAATGAAATAGTGCTTCTGATTAAGGAACGGGGAATGTAGAAACTCATCTTTGATGATTGATTTGTTAGTTAAGTTATTTGGTTCCCTGTGTTGGGAACTGATTGGACCACTGAATATAGAAGCACGTGGTAATAGTATACTACACATGGAGAGTAAAATTTGAAATCTCTTAGTAGTAGTTTTGTTGCTTATGTCGCCCACCATATGTTGCCTGAACACTCGATGTTAATGATGATTTCTTTGCACCTGAACCACCCAATATTTAGAACATTCTAATTAATGGTTGAACCCTGCCCATGTCTACATCGATTATGGAGTAACATATGATACAAGTAATTGCTTCTGGCACTCCACCTTAACATTTGGAAACTCTTAGTGTGTATCCTTAGTCGGTCTTGTTCTGCAGGTTGTTGCTACAATGTGTGAGGAGCTTCCTCCAGAGTGTGTGGTATTAATATATATTTCTGCATCAGGTTAGCGACCTTCTTTTCTTCCCTTAACGGAAACAGCATGTTAGCTGCTTTGATATCCTCATTGTGGCAGAAATCTCAATTCTTTATTGATTTCCAGGAAATACAAATCACAGTACCGCCTCTCACATGGAAAGCTCTTCAAGTTCTAGAAAATCTTCAAAGAACAATGCTCTTTCTCGTACTTCTTATGAACAGAAGAGTGCTTTACATGAAAATTATACCAACACCAATGGAGATATGGGTCAATATTTTGAGAATTGTTTGTGCTTAGGTCCTAGCAGAAGTGGAGGTACACCATTCAGAACTTAATTTATGTGCAGTCCATAAATTGGTTCATGATTATCTCAAATTGTTCTAAATCCAACTACGTCACGTTTATATTTTGGATTTTTGCAGGTTCAAATAACCTCTATCCAGGAGATCTAATTCCTTTCACACGAAGACCTCTATTCCTGATAATTGATAGTGAAAACAGCCATGCATTCAAGGCAGGTTTGTCAGAACTGTGTCTAACTCATTAAACCATGATGACCTGTCCTTGAGTAAGACACAGATTCCACAGTGTTTTGGATTCTAGTTGTTGTCTAAAAAACGTGTAATGCTTTTGAGAAAGAAAGATGAAATATCTTGGCGTGTTGACTTCTTATGAGACGCAATTGCAGATTATGCGAGAAAAACTTTGCACTAGCGCAGTTTCTTATGGATTAATCTGGCGTACTGTCCAAACAAAACACTCTAAGCATATAATGAGATTGTGTCAACATACTTTATGAAACTATGGAGTGGTTGTCCAGTAAAAAGCTAGCTTACTCTCATTTGCTCCCAAGAGAATAAGTGGAATACATGTCTAGGCTGGTTTGGTGGTAACATGTGTTATATATGATCTATTATTTTTCAGATTGTGCCTTTTGTGCCTGATAACATGTTGAACTTCTGAATGGCCAATAATTCTGTGCTGCTTTTCTTGATTGCGTTTGTTGAATTATGTGAATCCGACTCATCTAGAAGTGGTATGCTGTTAAAGAAGGGAGTCTAATTTTTCCAAATCTATTATTGCTTGTATTCCCCACTTTATGAAGTACAGTTTGTTTTAGCTACTCAGAAATCAATTGCCACTCTCACCAGATGTTAATAAGGTTGGATTGGCTGTTTGTTCTCATCTATTGGGTTTATGGGAAAATTACTGTTGTAAATATTACACTTCACGTATGACTTATTTTATTCGCAAGTTCAATTTTGAAAATTATCATTAGAAGAGGACTGTTTCGTTGCTGACACATCACCAATTGCTCTCCAGGTTCTACATGGTGCAGAAAGAGGAGAAAAAAGTGCTTTATTTCTCTCTCCCCTGAGGCCATCATTCAAGAACTCAGGTACTGATGTAACACAATCTGGAAGTCAGTTCACCTTGTTCTTGGCTGCTCCCTTACAGGCCTTCTGCCAGTTGGTTGGCCTTGTCTCTTCTGATAAGGATATGGTAAGTAGACCGTGACGCAAATTTCTTTACTGAGCAGTTGTAACTCGGTTTAACTTTCTTGGTAATTTGCTCTTCAGGATTGTTTTGATGAGGCTGATGGCATCATCTCAACTGCATTTGCAGAGTGGGAAGTAAACCTCTGTACATCGACTAGCCTAGATTTGGTTTGGGCTCAAGTTCTTTCTGATCCATTTCTGAGACGGCTTATTCTCAGGTAAGCATTTTCTGTTTGTACCAATCAAGTAAATTCTCAGTTACAAGTCACCCTAGGAGCCTTCTTGGATATTAACCACATGCGTTGTTCCTCTTGTGCAGATTCATATTCTGCCGTGCTGTGCTCGCTCTATTTTGCTTGCAGGAACGTGAAGATCAGTATTTGCCTGCTTGTTTACCAAAGCTTCCTGATACATTCTCCCCAAACTCTGAAACTGTGCAATCAGCTATCAGACGACTTGCAAAGCTTCTACGAGTATCAGATTGTTTTCGATTCGAATAATCATAATTGATTATCCTTTGTGCATCCGAAACGTGAAACCTGTGCTCCCTTTATGATGTACAAAAGATTGCACCACAAATGGGTAAAGAGATCCTGAAACTTAGCGGTTGACATTTTGATTAAGAAAGACACATTGGTAACCCAAGTGCAGGCTGGAAGTACAAAGGCATTCTTTTAGGTGATGGGTTTACTTAGTTTACAGCAATATCTTCTCATTTCATGTGCAGAAATTGGGGATTTTCTTCATTGTTTAGTTTTGATAGAATGATAGTGAGCTTTTGGTTGGTGATACAGTCGCTGCTGGATACAAGAGGGTTACTCGGGCTTTGGTTTTTGTTTTAGTTTCTACAGGAATTTGTACTAATTTGTTCATACCATCCTGTAATATAGAAGTAGGCAATCGAATTTTTTAATCATTTGTTGAGCAACTTCTCTTCCGATTTTTTTGATTGAACAGAAACTGGCGAGGTTCTGTGTTTTAACAGCCGCAGGGGACTACTTTAATAATTTTGTGGCGCAAGAAAATAGTTTTTGCTCTTGTCCATTTGAGTCTCTCAGGGTTTTCTCAAGTGTTATAGATTTGGAAGTTCTCTCTTTTGCTAACAACGCAATATAGATACCCAATATACCTAGTTTGAGGTAAAAATGCAAGGGATATTGTGAAACATAGTGAGATGTTTTCTTTTAAAAGTGAGTTGGAAGATATGCATGCAGCGTTAACTGGTGCAATGGCAAATCTTCTAAACATATAGAGAGATGCCAACATAAGGTGTATATTAGAAATGATGTAATTTTGCAACATAATATGGATAGCTAAAATACTTACGATTAGCGATGACAAAAAGAAATATTCATTAAGAAAAGTTATGATTAAAATAACATTGTAGTACATCTTACGTTCACCATATCTCCTTTATTCTCTTTTTCCGACGTACAACTAAAATATGAATGAATAATGAAAATAATATAATATTTGTGTATGAAGTGATCCGAATACCATAAATTTAGTGTCTAGTGACTGGTAAAAATCACATGAGATTCGCGCCTAAATTGACCCGAACATCACCATTATAGAAGGCAACATAAATTTGAAGGGAAGAAGCAACTAAAATATACGCTTCCCCCCTAATTTGCTGTTATTACCGATAAATATTACGTTAACCCCATTTTCTTGTTTGTGGAGTTAACCGCCCAAAACAAAAGGCCAAAATACCCCAATTAAACACCACTTAACCCCAGAAAAAAAACACCACCTAACAATTTCAACCAATAAGAATCAAGTATTCAGTCCTCTCGATCCGGGAACAACCATTAACTTAGAATCTCAACCGTCGAATGAGCTGGAGAAAACACAACACCCACCTTTTATAACCCTCGATATTCTCCCGAGAAAGCACACGGATAAATAATCTCAACCGTCCGATCTTATCCATCTCCTACATCCACAAAAATATATATAGCTGTCAACCTGCAAATCTTTGAACCTTTAGCATTCGCTCCACTAAAGCAGAGAGAAGAAAGGAGGAGGAGAAAAGAAAAAAGAGAAGGTAAATTATCTTATCTCCTTTTTTATTTTCCATTTTCTTATCCGCGCCATTATTTTTTGAATTATTCTTTGTAATTCATATATTATTAACATTTTAATTTAATTTAGGTATTATTTAATTTGTAGAATGATTGATCTGTCTGTAATCTCTAGGGTTTCTGATAATCTCTCATTGTAGGCTTTTGACTAAATGTTGGATCTCATGAATATATCTGGTAATTAAGTCTTCCGTCATAATTATGTGAAAATTTTGTTATTTTGTCATAAATTCTTAGGCACAATTAGGTTACTAGAGCAAAATTGAACATTTCTTTGGTCTTCATGTTATGGTTAGGGTTAATAAGTGTAAATTGATTATGTCGTTGTAATTATGTGAAATTATTTGTTTTTTGTCAGAACTCTCAGGTACAGTTTAAGTTACTAAATCATATTGGATTTTTGTTTTGTTTTGTTATAGGTCAACTAATTAGAGAAAAATTGAATCTTTTGTTTTAGTTATGTTAAATTATTGGTTGTGGCATTTCAGATGGCTCGTACCAAGCAAACTGCTCGTAAGTCTACAGGAGGAAAGGCACCTAGGAAGCAACTTGCTACTAAGGTCAGTTTTTCCTTGAAAATTTTTGTATATGAATTTGTAACCTTATGTTCTGTTTGGTAGCTAATGGTATGTGGTACTTGAATTAGGCTGCTCGTAAGTCTGCTCCTACTACCGGTGGAGTGAAGAAGCCTCATAGATACCGCCCTGGTACTGTTGCTCTTCGGTAAGTTACATCTTGCGTAACTGTTTCCTATAAAGCTGTATGTAGTATTATATTATTATCACGTTTCCTTGATTTTAAGGAGCTGTGTAAAATAAAAGTTTTCTTTATGCCCAATTTGCATATGATCACTTACACTTTCATACGTTATGCAGTGAAATCCGTAAGTACCAGAAGAGTACTGAACTCCTGATCAGGAAGCTCCCATTCCAGAGGCTTGTTCGTGAAATTGCTCAGGATTTCAAGGTAAATATGGTGATGGTTTATAATCTGTTTTTGGTTCTAACTATGGTGTCTTGGGATGTAGCTTTAATAGTTTACTTATTGATTGATTGGTTCTTTCTGTGGCTTCTTTGGTTTCAGACTGATCTGCGTTTCCAGAGTCATGCTGTGTTGGCTCTGCAGGAGGCTGCTGAGGCTTACTTGGTTGGTCTCTTCGAGGACACAAATCTTTGTGCCATTCATGCCAAGCGTGTCACCATTATGCCAAAGGACATTCAGCTCGCTAGGCGTATCAGGGGCGAGCGTGCTTAAATTGATCAAGTGTGGTAGCTCTGTTGGTGATTTTAGATCTTTTTGTTAAAGACAGTGATGGTATTAAAATTTAGTAGTAGGGATGATGTGCTATGTTGATCTTATTTTGTGTGGTGGATGGAGGTGTGCTGTAATTGTTGTTCTGTTTTGGGAGGTGGAGAAGCATAGTATTTGTTGAATCTTTCTAATGTTTTGTTGTCACACCACTGGTGTTGAACAAGTTTCAGAATTTGCATCTAATGTTTAGTTCAACTGTTTGGTATTTGCCTCTTATCTTCCACTTCATAGTCTTATTGTTAGCACTGGAATGATATTTTTAGGGCCAAATTGGAGTTTGGTGTTAAATGTTTGTTGACATTTTTAGAGGCATCCAACGCCTTAGGAGTGCTGATGCATTGGTCGTTGCAACTCTCATGGTATAGTCGAACACGATGCCTTTCTGCTAGTTGTCCATGTAGCTTCTTTAAAAGCTTGTCAAAGGGTGCCTTTCTGCTAGTCGAACATGACATTGGCACAAGGTTTTTTTGTCCATGTAGTTTCTTTAAAAGCTTGTCAAAGGGATCCTCAGTTGACCCATTCCAATAAGTTGCCTTGACATCATTTCTTAATGTACAAAGTATTGAACTTTCTTAACCTAATTCATACGAGATGGATTCATAAAATCTGCCCACGCAACATATCTGGCAGGCTCTTAATTTTGAGAAGCCAACGCCGAGCTATCCACGTCTCTGTGAGTGTGGCACTTGCTGCTCTTGCTTGGATTTTGACTCGTCGAAATGTAAAGAAATTTTGTTGTATCTTATACTCGGGGAAGTTTGAGCATAGGACTATGCAGAGAATGTAACTGCACTATTTTGCAGTGTGACAATGTCATAAGGAGTGCCAAAGAAACACAACATCCGTGTAAGTTATATCCTACAGAAAATCTCAGTTAACATCTTCTGAGGGGTTTAAAATAGAATTGGAATTATCTTAAATAGGTACTTTCTATCCTTCGATGCACAAGGCTAGAACATCAAGATCAATGCGTTGGCACGAGAAGGTAAATTCCAATCTGTGCGGGGTGTTTGATTAAATGTTACCGAGAGATGTGGTTTCTTGGAATTCAGTGATTACAGTCTATTGACAATATGAGTGTCTCCTGAATCAAAGAAAACGGATTCTGGGGAAAAGAATAACTCTGAAAAGAGAGTTTGAGCGGCCCTTTAAATCTAATGAAAATATAAGACACTTACTAGTTACTTTCAAGGATACCAGATTGATAACTCTATAGGACTTTAGCCAAAAGTTCTTAAGCCGTGTAATACAAAACTACGCCTCTATCTCATTAACTTCGAGTGATATTTGTCCTTTTTAAAATTTTCCCTAATTACAGTACCAACTGGAAACCACATATTCCCTTAGCTAATGTTAAGTGTGCGTGCGTGTCCTTCTCGTTGGCTTAAAGAACTGATTAATTAGCCTAAGTATACTACTGATTAATTGCTGCCCCATGCAATAGGTGGTTCCATTTCAACATTTCTACTTATACCCTTATCTTTAATGTTTGTTCGCCATTTCCTGAGCTCCAAGCTCAAAACTTTCATACCATTAAACCTCCCTTGCTGCTATAGCTTTGAACGTTATTTTTCCCGCCGCACGAGCAAAACCTCCAAATCACCTCAGGATGTCTACAACTGCAACATCAGGATCAACGAACTGGCACGGGAAGGTAAACTCCAATCTGCTCGGAAGGTGTTTGATGAAATGTTACACAGAGATGTTGTTTCTTGGAATTCAATGATTACAGCCTACTGGCAAAATGGGTGTCTCAGTGAATCAAAGAAGCTTTTTTTATCAATGCCTGAGAGGACTGTAGTGTCTTGGAATTCGATGATCGCGGGGTGTGTGGAAAATGATTGCATTGATGATGCTTACTTATATTTTAGCACTATGCCCGAGAAGAATGTTGCGTCGTGGAATGCAATGATTTCAGGCTATGTTAAACATGGTATGGTGGAGGAAGCGGCAAGGTTGTTTGATGAGATGCCTAGAAAGAATGTGATTTCTTATACTGCAACGATCGATGGGTATATGCGAAGACGTGAGATTGACAAGGCAAGGTCACTTTTTGACCGTATGCCACAGAAAAATGAGGTTTCTTGGACTGTGATGATTAATGGGTATGTAGAGAACGAGTGTTTCGATGAGGCAAAAGAGTTGTTTGAAAAGATGCCAGCTAAGAATAAGCATGTTGTTGCGATTACTGCTATGGTAATTGGGTATTGCAAGGAGGGACGGGTGGAGGAAGGAAGGATTTTGTTTGATGGAATACTATGTAAAGATAGTGTTGCTTATAATGCCATGATTTCAGGTATGTAAAGTATGATTTTCGAGATTTAGATAGTGTGATCCCTGTGGTTGATTCTTTTTTTTCTTTCTTTTTGTCGTGGTTTCATTAAGTTGATAATTATAGACATAGTGATGATTTATATTTTCGTATGTAATGTGATCATGGTAAATTGGTAATTGAGCATAGAAATGGAGAGTTGTGTTCACTTCTTGTCAGGCAAGTGCACCATAATCTTTTACTTAGTAACTTCAAGATTTTATTGTACTGAATCAATCTATTGTACGATGAGATTGCCACCCTTACATTTTAAATAAATATGACGAATGGACCTAAGTGTTCTGCTCCGTATTCACTTGATTCTGGCCCAAAACATCAGTTAAATACAAGCTGAAGCATCTGGACTTGTCATGCTAAGAAAGCTGAAAATTTTGTTGGATCAACTGCTAAAAATTTGTTTAGCGGGAAATACAAACTTTTAGTTTTGAAGTATACATCTAAGAAGGGAAGGGAAAAAAAAGTATATATTTAAGAAACAATTAGATGTGACATTTTTTAGCTTAACTAACATTGCTTCAGCTCTACCATTCTTGAGTCTAAAATCCTCTATTATGTAGTTAGCTGAGTGACTATGCAGCTGGCTCGAGTAACCATTGGATGTGTGATCGCTTTTTGTATAATTTGTTTGTCAGGTGCCAATACACTTTCCCTGTATTCATTCTGTTGATGAATTTCACAGGTTATGCACAAAACGGACGCAACGAAGAGGCACTCAAGTTACTGGTAGAGATGCTTAGGATGTCTCTTCGACCAGATCAATCTTCATGTGCTTCAGTTCTTTCTGCATGTGCTGCTCTTGCATCTCCTTTAGTTGGTAGACAAACTCATGCAGTTGTCATTAAATTTGGGGTAGACTCCGTCGTCTCCATATGTAATGCTCTAATTACTATGTATAGCAAATGTGGCAGCATTTTTGAGTGTGAGTTGGCTTTTGAATTAATAACAAGTCCAGACCTTGTTTCTTGGAATACTATAATTGCTGCCTTTGCACAGCACGGGTTGTATGCGAAAGCAGTTGCGTATTTGGAGCAAATGGTTCTCAGAGGATGTGAACCAGATGGTATAACATTCCTCAGCTTATTATCTGCTTGTGCCCATGCAGGGTTGGTTAGTGAGAGTATTTCTTGGTTTGATTCAATGGTAAAAAACTACAATATTACTCTTAGACCGGAGCATTATGCTTGTTTAATTGATATACTTGGCCGAGCCGGTCAGCTGGACAAGGCTTACAACATTATCCAAGAGATGCCTTTTGAAGCTGATTTAGCTGCTTGGGGTGCCCTTCTTGCTGGCTGTCGCGCTCATTCCAATGTAGAACTAGGGCAGCTTGCTGGAGAGAAAGTCATGGAATTAGGTGGTGATAGTTCAGGGCCTTACATTATGTTATCTAATATATATGCTGAAGCAGGTATGTGGGGGGAGGTTACAAGAGTGAGAGGATTGATGAAAGAACATGGCATAAAAAAGAAACCGGCATATAGTTGGACGGAGATTGAAAATAAGGTACATTATTTTCTGGGAGGGGATATCTCTCATCCAAATATACAAGAAATCCGTACAGCACTCAAGTGGATGAACTTGCAGATGAAATTCCAGGAAAAAGTTCTGGACTTCACCGACTTTTACTTCCTGGATGAACTGGAATGCACATGTATTTAGCATATCTATGTCCAGTAAACTAATCAAATTTGGAAAATTTTGGACACACACTGAAAATTCGGGATCACTACTGCCTGGAATGCTCATTTAGTACTGAGTTCTTGTCCAAGCAAGATGAAACTTTTCGACCAGGAGCATACCAGATGCACTAACATTCTTGCTTTTGATACTCTTTGGGTATGATCGACTTTAAATAGGCAGAATGGCCATTCTTATGCAATTTCCGGGGAACTGATCGCCTGTAAAGGGATCAGAGTTTTGACCCCAAAAGCTGGAAGATTTATGAAGGGTAAGTGTGAGCTGATCTCCCATTTTCCATTGTTTGGTAATAATTGCTCTTGGATGATACTGAAACAGAGGGGGTGTAGGCCCATGAATAGAGGAAGGAGAAGGAAAAAAAGGGAGGCGGCGACAGTCATTTGAACATTGCACTATTCAGATTCAGGTTGATGTTAGAACTATTATTAGATTGTAACTTGAATCTTATGGTACTGTTGTTTGTAAAGAAACTGGAAAGCAATCTTATTGAATATATAATTTCCAATGTGGGGTTTTAGGCATTGATGCCAAAGTTGTTGCCATAAGACAATGAGATTGTATAATCTGCATATATAACAATTATGCTTCAATTCCAAGCAAGTTGGGGTCAACTATATGAATATATACAACCAATTACCATTTAACTATTACAATTCTTTTCCCGACCACACGTCACATGTTTAGGACCAACTGGGATATTGATCATTGACTAAACAATATGTTAGAAGCGCATAAAGGTCCAGTTACAGGTCAGGGCCATAAAGTTATATATGAGATCGACTTTGACTTAAATTAGAGAGCCCGATGGGAAATCTAGCTAGTTGTTGTAGGAGGCACAAGATACTAGTTTCTATAAGATGAGTTTCAATGACCATGTCAGTTTCATTTGACTTCGTGTGGTTCCAATATTATCAAAATGAGATTATATAATCTGCATTTTCTTTTTTCTTTTATCTTTTTTTCTTTCTTTTTCAACATAATCTATCCCTTTGTACTTTCTATTTTGTTCCTTTGTTATTAGATAAAGTTGTGAATTTCTTTCCTGAACCACTCCTACCTTCCCTGACAAACACAATTTTAATTTTTAAATCCTTTTTTGCAACTTAATTTCAATCTTTTTTCCTTTCAAATCTCATATTATTTATGTCCAAATTCGCACTAAGTTTCTAGTAGCTTAGAATCTCTGCCAATATAATCGTATTAGTACAACTTTAAGACCAAGTATCAAAAAAGGGAACCTATTCAATAGACGTGACGCCTCGGTAAACTTCTTCAAATTGATATTTTCTGACCTTTTCTTTTTTATAATAACAATTTTCCAGGTACGTATTTTTCTGACATTTTCTGTTTATAATATTCCAAGGAAGTAGGTAAACAAAACGCCAATTCTATCGTCAAAACTCACAAGATCTATTAATTACAATATTATCACTAGATATTAGAGATTAAAATTCATTAATTTGAAATTAATCCATTATTAAATTCAGTGGTTGAATTATTAATTAATTGAAACAAATTCCAACGTCATGTTTGCCGGCCCCTAGACAAAGTCAGACTCTCAGTTTCTAAGCATTCTCCATGTCTCCTTCTATTAAAAAAATAATACTAAATTCAAAATATCAAGTTGTGATTAATTACACAAATTTCCAAAATTTGTTCTTTAAACTTTCCTTAATTTGGTATTAGAATTGACAAAACAACATCACGCAAATTAGTTGTCTGAAATTGGAAGCCAAGAAAGTATATATGGCTTTAGGGGTTAATTAAAGGCAGCATATCAATACTTGGCTTTTGCATATTTCAAGTGAATTAACATAAACTATAGTATTATAGTCAATCTTTTATTTTTCTCCAAAATAAAGATAATATTTGTGAAGTAAATCCTTCTTCATTTCATATATTTTTATCAGAATAAAGTAAGAAATTTATGATACTCTTTGTGTAGTTTCTATATATGAAATTTTTTTCCTAAAATTTTTGATGGATATCTGAATTAATATCAAATATTGACTCTTCACTCTATACGTCATCGTTCTTTTTACCATGAGATTGTTCATGCGGCGTTACTATAATTTGTAAACAAACTTAAAACCAAAAAAATTTTGAAACTTTTTTAGGAGGCTTATAGACTATATTTGAGTTGAAGTTTTAAAAAAAAAAATGTGAATTTTTGCTAAAATTGAAGATTTTTTTTTTAAAAAATCACTTGAATTACACTTTAAATTAGAATTTTCATGTTTCACTTGGAATTCAAATAATATCCACTTGTAACTCAAAATTTTATGTCCAAACTTCAACTTGCAAATAATGACTAAAATATTTGCCAGTGAAGTTTTTCCCAAAAAAAAATAAAAATATACCAGTGTATAAAGTATCTCGCATTCACATGAGGTTCAAAAAAGTGCTGCACCCAAAAAGGTGTGATGTAGACAGTCCGGAACATTTGGAAAATTCATGTTATTAGAACACACTGGTTAAGTTGTGTTAATTAACTCATTAAGTTCAAAAGTTGACCTTAATCAAGGGCAATTTAGTCAATTGACACAGATCTTCTACCAAGTCTGCAAAATCTTCTTTTACTAGTGTATATACATCTCTTTCACTTGTCTCAGTCGTACAAAATCTCTCTTTCATACCTTTTGCCGTTACTGCATTTTATTACCAAACAAAACCCCCGCCAACCTCGGACTTTGTCATAAACCATAAACTTTCAAAACAACCTTTTTTTTCCCCAAACACACACAAACACTGAAAAAAACTACTTATATTAGTATACAAAAAAGGTGGAATTTTCTCAGTTTTTTGTGCTGATTTTTCCAAGAATCTTCCAAGAGAAAAAAAGAGATTCAAACACGTATTCAAACAAAATGTTACGTTCAAAATCAAGGTACCCCTTTTAAATATTTTTCCTTGTTATTATCATTATATTAGCCTTATTTTTATTTGGGTGTCGATATTTTCTAAAGTGGTGTAAGTATATATAATTCTTTTGAAGTTCAGAGATTTTCTCGGATTTGTCTGTTATTTTTTTTCATGTCATATTTCTAACCTAAGGTTTTCGTTTATGGGTTTCTCTTGTCTATTATCTCATGTTTAGTTTAATGTTTTGAGTTTGCATGAGATTTAATTAAAAATTGAATCTTTTTTATGTTTTAATGTTTGAGTGCTTTAGAGTTAATTAAAGATTGAATCTTTTTGATATTTTGGGGGATTTGTAGATCTGGGCCCAATGATATAGGACAAAGGAGTCATTCTTCAAGATTTTCAAGAGCAATTTCTGCATCAAAGCTTTGTAGAGGTGATGCTTTGGGCTGTCAAATTGATTCAAACGCCCTTGTTTCTCTTGAAAGAAAACCCTCCAAAGTTGACCATTTATCTGAGGTATTTATTAGATTTTCCCAATATTTTGTTGTAATTTTTTTGGAATTATACAATTAAGTATAGTTGTTGTTGATACAATTAGTTTTTTGATCTTTGGTGTAATTTGTATATTGGATTTCCTCCAATAACGACAACAACAACGCCTTTATTCCAAGCAAGTTAGAGTTGGATTTAAGCTCATCTCTGACGCATATACATTGAAAAGTACAGCTCGGTGCACTAAGCTCCTGCTATGCGCGGGGTCCGGGAAGGGCCGGACTACAAGAGTCTATTGTACGCAACTTTTCCCTGCATTTTTGCAAGAGGTTGTTTCCACGGCTCGAACCCGTGACTTCCTGATGCATATACATTAAAAAAGAAAAATACTATTAGAAGTTCTCTATATTTTCTACTGTCGTATAGAATTTTAATTCGTTCTTATTTTTGGCGTTTGTAGAATCGGGTGAATAAAATTTTGCTGATGCAAGAACAAATGGGACATCTTGAGGAGGAGTTGAAGCAGACAAAAGAGCAATTAGATTTTGTCGAAGGAGAAAAGAATAGAGCAATTCATGAACTTAAGGAGATGAGACAAGTTGCTAATGAGGCTAATAAGAAGCTAAATGAGGGATTATCACCTAAGAAAGCAGGGGAACTAATTGCTGAACTTAAGGCTTTGAGGGAATTGAATTCAAAAACACAAGAAGAATTGAAGATTAAAGATAAGAATATCGAGTCGCTGAGGGTGGAGCTCGAAAGAGTGAAGAAATACGAGGTCAAGTTAGCCGAAAAAGATGCTATGTTAGGAGGATTGAGAGAGGAGATGAATCATGTGAAAGCATCTGAAATTCAAGCAACAGAACAATTGTCTGTTTTTAAGAAAAAGGTTAAAGAACTAGAAGTTGAATTGGATCAAAGGAAGTTATCGGAGTCGAAAATATATGATTCGTTTGAGTCGCAGATGAGGCAGTTTGAACAAGCTAAGATCGAACTTGAAGAAGCCAAGCTCGAGATGGCTTCACTTCGCGAGAAGGTTGAATCGCTAGAGACTTCATCGAAGAGAAATAGCGGGCGCCTTAATGGTTTTTCCAATGGGGAGATCGCCAATTCTGTGAAGAAGGAACTCGAAAGCCTTAACTATGAACTTGCTTTGGCAAAGGAGGATGTGGCTAATGCACAAGAGAGGGAGAAAATTTGCCTGTCAAAGGCTAAGAATTTGAACGACGAGATAAGCTTGCTTAAGAATGAAGTTAAGTTGGCTAGTGAGGCAGAGGAAAAAAGCAGAAAGGCGATGGACGATTTAGCATTAGCGTTGAAGGAAGTTGCTACTGAAGCATCAGAGGCCAAGGAGAAACTTAGTGCTACTCAATTAGAGTTAGAACAAGTGAAAGAGGAAGCGGGAAAATTGAAGGAGATGGTTAGAAATACTGAGGCCAGATATCAAAAGCTCTTGGATGAGGCGAAAAAAGAGACGGACCTATACAGAAATACAGCAGACAGATTGAGATTAGAGACCGAGGAGTCACTTCTAGCGTGGAACGGGAAGGAGATGGGGTTCATCACTTGTATAAAAAGAGCTGAAGAAGAACGAA